TTAATGAAAAAAAAAATGTAAAAGATTAACATCATGTCTAATACATATTATATTAATGCTAAAAAATTCAGGTTTTAATTTACATTTTTTAATTCCTAAAATTTAGTTACAGAATAATGCTTTATTGATAATGTTTTATAGTTGTTTTAAAATTAATGAACACGTAGTATATAGGCCTATATGGACATCGGGATTTTCCCTGTAGGCTATCGTCTGAATTTTATGTTTGATCTCGAATGCCCCAAACTTAGTCCCATCACGTTATTAAATTACAATACATATAATTTGCAATATCATTTTAACTATAAATTGTTACATGTAACAAGGGACTTTGATTAATTCTAGCCATTATGTGTATATAAATCACTCTGGAAATACTCTACACTATTAAATAAATATATTTTGACCGAGTTATCTCGAAAGCATGGTATAATTTTGATTATTATTGTTGTTTTTTGGAGATTGTTTTATCAAAATGTGTTTATGGCTTAATGGTATGTAATTTTATTAAGTATTTATTATCATATTCACTTCACTGAATACTTATATGATGATAATGGTGTATGTGTTTTTTCATTATTCGTTAAACATATATTATGAATTTTGATTTATGCATAACAGAAAATAATTGAATGTATGTCTCGATACTTGTTGGAGTATTCTAAAAAATATTGTTTGACACACTTTTCTGAAATATTTTTAAGTAGATGAATCAATAATGTATTTACTTAAAAACACCATAAAACGGTAACAATCATTAATTTTTCTATAAAATCAAGTAATTGATTTAACTTTGATACTTCCTTTTGTACATTACACATCATTTTCAAACTAAAGGTAACAAATTGTGAAATATTATAGTATATAATATATATTAGGTGTACTTAACTAAACTTAAGTGCAATAAGTATTGAAATATTTGATTTTACTTAATGGTTACCTCATCAACATATTATAATCAAACAATCTTTAATTTTGTTCGTGTCTAGATATTATTACTACAGACCATCAATGTAGTAGTGAACAATTATTTTTGACCGAAACCTTTCTAATGATATTAAAATAAGTGATGACTTAACAGTGATACAATAATTATTAAAAATTAGCACCCTAGTAAAATGTATGATAATGAATAAATAAATGAACCAACAAATTTTTATTAATATATGTAAATATTTGAGGGTATCTACCATATTAAAAACCAAGAATGTGATATTGAACATTTACTTTCAAAAAGGTAAAATATGCTGAAGCATTCATTCTAAAACTGAAGCTCAAATTATAACAATCGATTATATTAATTTACATAATTATATTTAACTTATACTATAAAAGTATGTATCATACAACTTAACATCAGCTAATTAATTTTCCTTTTATTTTTTTGAGTTTTTAGTATCACAAACCGTGAATGTGATAGTGAACAATTACTTTCTAAAGGACCTAAAAATTAAATAGAAATTCTATTTATGATTTAAGAATTGTTTATGGATAATAATGTATTTTATCTATTGAAAATGTCAAACAGTAGTTTTCATTTATTATTATAAATACTAAGAATGTACAGACATTTTATCAATGAAATGCGAGCAAAGTGAGCAAAGTGAGTACATTTTAGGGGCCCTTTTGTTTAAGATTCCCTTAAATTCAGTTTCCGGTGACATAAAATATCTCTATCTGCCACTGCGTAGTACCTGTATCATTGTCCTGAAACCAAGATAAGCGATGGGGCAAGATGCCTTCAATGCAGACCCGTGTCCGTCTATTATTATTAATTATTATTATTACAGTATTATAATGCCTATGTGTAACACGGCGCAATGTATAGGCAAAATAGGTACATCACTGCGATATTTAAAAATATTATGATAATAATTAATGTATTATTATAGCACTTTTTGAGTATCAAATAATTTATTTGTTTTTAAAAGTCATCCAATGCTAGTGTCTTCATTCTGAGTTTTGTGAACAACTGATTTTGAATAACTAATATGAACAAAAAAAATCTACCCAGTGTCAAAGTATTCAATAAATCCATGACACCAAATCAATTTTCGCGGAAACGCACGTTTTAGATAGTTCCTAACTAAATAACCAAAATTTACGATGCGCTAGAATTGATGGCTTCTTATTTATATTATAATATACTCCTTCCAACATTAATTAAAGTGCTTAGATTGTATTAATTAATAATCATATTGTTTAAACGGTATTAAAGAATTTATTTTATATACGTAGATATTTCATTAGACTTAGTACCTATCTTAACATTCTCTTTCAGTAGGTAATATTAATTTTACCTTAGGAATACAATTAATAAACTTCATACTATATTTATCTTTTGCATGGCTTTAAATCCATACAAGCTCGTCCTGCGTGTACCCATATGTATTTAGACACGGACGTATTATGAAACTACACATAAAATATACTTATAAACACGTACAAATACAGTGAGTCGACTTTTAATGGGATTATATAATTATGGAAAATAAATATCACCAGGTGAATATTTGTGATAATTTTAAAAGCCGTAAATATAACATTTGATTCAACACAAATTCTAACTAATGCAAACTTTTAAATTACAATTTCATTAAAAATTATTTATATTAATCATATAATGCAAAGTATATAATGTGGCAAGTACATGATAAAGGGAACTTGCTTTTCAATACCTATTTATATTATTACTACTTAAGCGTACACATAAATATTATCATACTTTTACCACATAAATAAATATTTAAATTCAATTAAAGTAAAAAATTAATGGTAAATTAAAGTTTTTTACAAAAGTATTTTCAAAGTATAACAATTTTTTTTTTAGACGACCAGTATTATACTTTCACTGTGCATGTATTGCCTATTAGTTATACAACCATTGTATATGCAATTATATATATATTATAAATATATTGCGTATAAATTTGCCTAATTGTAAATATACAGTTTCGTAATAAGATTATTTATTTATTTATTTATGGTGCCGCTCCTTCAATATAATCATATAAACGAATAGGTATAGTTTTTCCCTCGGGATGAAGTGGATATAAGGGCCAAATCAATCGACTGGCACAAACGGAAAAGTTAATACTTCGTATTCAATAACGACTGAAACCACTTTTTTATCGAGGTTACGAGTATTTTTCAACCTGATCTCGTCAACCGAAGTGAATATTATTTTTTCCTCCGAGCTTGTGTTTGTGAGAGACACTTGCTTTGCCACGCTAATTGGAGTGGTGTGAAAAGGGATCTGAATGTGGAAAAAATGTTCAAGCATCGGACCCCAGGGGATCGTTATTATCAAGCACTCAAATATTTCAGTTGAACGTCACGTATATATAAATAAATGAGTTCCAAAAAAGTATATAAAATACAAGAACAATACAACTTATGTTTCGTACTTCTGTTTATAAAAGCGTACAGTTTCCTTAAAACCGTGAGAAACCAAACATCTGGTTTATATGTAAAGAGTATACAGTGTCTTTTAGGGTTTACTAATAAATAAATAGTTAGATACATTCTTAGATCCCCCTTCAAGAATGCATTAAAACGACATATCCTTTGTCATTTGTTATTTTAATCAAGTTAGTGTTAAAGTTTAAAAGAAATGCAAATATTAAGAAGTAATATTTTTATAATAAAATGAATAACAGAAAAAATTCTTAATTTAAAGTAAAATATTCATACAATTTCAAATTTAATCGAGATGATGTATTTTTGTGTGGTCATTTATGAGGTTTTTTCTGAATTAGATACAATACGACTACAATCAATTTTAACTACCTATTTTTTTATTAGTGGTATTTTCAACACTTGATTTTATTCTATTCTATTGTACAGAATTGTGTCAAGTGTTGTATAATAAAAAAGTACTCACTAGTTTTACCATTTAAATTAAAATTTAAAAACTTATGTTATTTTAATTTTATTTTAGGTAAAATTATCTTAAGAATACTGGGCCTTACTGAGAAAACTCGTGTGGAGGCCCAGGTTTATTAAATTACAGTAGAGTAACTGTTAGTGACATAGCTATTAAATAAGATATAAAATAAGTAGTTGGTATTGATACAAATTGATATACATATATTTAAAAAAAAATACAAAAATACAAGGTATTACAATTAAGAATAATTTCAATTGATACTAACGCTAAGTGATGATATATAATAAGTAATAACTAATAAGTATAAATTCTTTCTATAAGGACAATTTCATAACAAAGCCATCATGGTAATTTTTTTTTAAATATATAAATTGGCCAATTTATTACCTATGTGTTTTTGTATTAAGTTAAGCAATTTGGTTCCGACAAACTGGTATTGATTTCGTGTACCTGTTTTTTGAGGCCAATGTACTAAAAAATTGTTCTTTGCATATCTGCTATCTGGCATTAATATTAAGTTACAATAATGATAGAATTTAGAAAAATTACAGTTTATTTTAAATATAGTTGCTTGATATTAAGAACGTCGAAGTTTTCATATAATGCTTTAGTATTAAATCTTGGCCCTTTTTTCATGGCTACATGTATTAATGAGTTTTAGGTTGTTTGCAGTGGGGATAGTACGTTATAAAAAGACCCTCCCCAACCTATAATTTCGTATGCCATGATCGGTTCAACGAATGTCAGATAAATTAGTCGGAGGTCCTTCTCTTTTAATATGTCACGCGTAATCCTCCTTTCATACAAATCGTTTTCATACTCTTATTCGCCGAGGTAAAAATGTGTTCTATCCATTTCATCTTGGAACACAACATATTGTCTAAACCTAAGTACCTTTGGTATTTTTTACAATATTTATCATTTATATTTATGTATATTGTTATTGACTAAACGGGTTTACAGAGCGCAACTATCGTGGGCGACTTTTTGGTGTTTTTTCGACCGCAAGTGTATATGTGAAAACAGAAAAAAACCGACCGAAAAAATAAATAGTTTCGTGGCTATAGGTATTTACAATTTCATGATAATATATATTATAATTTGTTTTCACCTGGGACAGTACGGTGTTGGTCGCAATAGCAACGTTGACCGGACCGCTGCTGTTGACGCTGACGTGTTGCGGGTCGACCGAATGACAGCTGTACGACTTCGTCCGCCGGGAAGATGACATACATGCTTCGAAGCGCAACATGGCGATGGACTCGCAGTCCTGTACTGTTTTAAAGCGATATATCTAGACGATACAAACAGAGAAAGAAAATCATAATTCATCATTATTAAATATTATTTGTCAAATAAACGATAATATTTAATATTATTAATGTGTAATTTCACGAGTAAGTGCTAATAATAATATGTATACATGTTACGAGCGCCTTTGCGATAGCAGCTGATGTCTCCGTGGTGGAATAAATAGCTATACGTATTATATACGAAATATAAAAGACCTTAAGTTCAAAGTAATCGATACGATATTTGCACCTCGAGTCTTAAAGGTATAATGTCATATTAGAATACTGTCAATGTATACTGAAATGACAGTTTTTTTTTTTTAAGGTCACCGATCGCCGTAATATATATGTGTGACCTATCTATGGATATTTAAATAATAACTAAATATACCTTAAATATAACTCCATACACAGATTTACACTATTACACAACTCGAATGGGTTATTCACTCTTTAGTAAGTACTACCAAAACATCTAAACTTTAGATTCTAAAGTGTACTAATAATATTTATTCATTTGTAATATTTATAAAAAAAAAAATTTAATTCAATTTTTATGAATAGGTATAATATTATTATATTATATTTTATTTTGTTAGCTCGACATACTATAAACATAAATAATATTGACTAATAGTTGGAATACTATAATTTTTCATACTGAAAACTAATTTTATTTATACTACATTTTATTGAAATTAATTATATTAAAAAATAACAGTTTACAACTTCTATAATTTATCAAAACTAATATCTTTAAAGTTTTAATTTATTTTCAACTACATTACCTTGAAAATTTTAATTTTAAGTTAACAAAAAGAGACTTAAAACAGTATGTTTATATTAAAACATATTTTTTTTTTTCAAGTTAAAAAAAAATATTTTTTGAATGGCCCTGTCTTTGTTACTTTTAAATGTAATTTCGTGGGATACCTATTTAGTTTTAATTTTAAAAAGCATTCTTAAATAAAAGAAATGTATACAAATGTTGTCTTGTTGTTCTGAATCCTGATAGATAACTAATAATGTAATTTCTTTAGTTTATTTCTTTTTCAACATTCTCAAATAATTATTATAACTGAAAACCAGCAAATATGTCATAGCATTTTGGTTGGTAATATAAATTCCAATGGACCCATCAAATTCCATTATATTTATATAATAGTATTTATTAGTTATTTTTATTAAAAAGGTACAACCAACTAAAATTATATGAACACGGTATCTACATTTTAAGGCATTTCAGTAGTAAAGTCATCATGATATACTAACTTATTTAGTAAGAAAAATGAAGTAATTTTTTTATATGGTAAGATGAACATTAATTTATTCTCCGGCTTATACAAAATGTTAATATTAACAGAATAGCTGTTGTTATAATATAAGTTCCCCTACGTTTTATGCATTTATAATAACGGCAAGACGTGAACATAAAAAAGATACATTTCATCGATGCGAAACTGGTATCATAGTATTGTTTTATTATAGTGTTTTATATGTTTCTACGGAATTATTTTTTAGAATAAATTACTCGCAGCAAAGAATGTCGTTAAACATTTTTACTTTTCTCTGCAGCCTGCGACTGTAAAAGAGTAAATTGCGGGAAATTTACAAGCCACGGTAAACATGACTCATGCAAATTAATATATCCTCTTATTATCCAAGGCCATAAATACAACCACGTGTAGGTAACATGTTCCCATATTTGCACATATTTACACATGCATACGTGCGAAAGTACGGTAGTTGGACTTAATTAGAGAGGAAAGCCATTTGGAGCATGTCGGAGTATAACAACAACAACTGTCGGCGCAAAACCAGAGGGATTAAGTTAAGTTGTACGAAATTACCATTGTGATTGCCTTTACGCCCTCAAAACGGCTTTTATAACAGAATATAATAATATATATTGTTGATGTTCTAGCTGATGCGGGACACTTTATTTTTTTTTTACGTCCCACTCATTTAACACAATATTTATTTACGAATAATTATCGTTTAACGATATCGTAATCGGCTCGGACGTCATACGAATATGAATAACATGGTGGCAGTGTACAATAATAATATAATATGACGTTATACCGCGGTAGCTAAATAGATGATGAGTGTTGTTTATAGGATTTTCAATTAATTTTGGCGGAAAACCACGTTCTCGAGGATCCTTTAATTTTTATCCCCGTTTACCTACATACAAGTAACATAGTAGGTAGTGTGTGTTGTTCGACCTAAGCGGTTTTTATTATTTTTTCCACCCATACGCCGCCTGGGCGTTCAAGTGTGTGTGCAGTGGTGCAGCTATTATACTTCATATGTAATACTACATCATAACGATGACCAAATCGTATTCAGGCGAATAAAAACGGGGGCGCCGGGGAGAATGGCAATAAGGGTGGGTATACTGCGAGGAGGGAGCGAAGTAACGGACGATAATAATATGAAGAAAAAGGTAGAAACAACTTTCGTACAATATGTGGTGGTTCACGTGAGATTGACGTTATCTTTTTTTTTTTCCCTCGACCGTATCCGCGGAGGACGTACGGTGAAGAAAAAAAAAACAGCAATAAAAACATAACGCTTACTGCTACAACACTACACACACGATGTGTGGAATTTTGCAGGTCCAAGGCGCGTGTTTAATACGCGTACCTGTATATGCATAAACACGACGATATACGCATAATATAATATACGACACGAAAAACGATTCAAGGGAACGAACGGCTGAAGACGGTGGCCAATGTCTGGTAATGTGCACACGACGACGACGACCGCGGTAAAGGACTTTTCGTGTCCTTGAGGCGGTGACGTTATAGAGAAGCCTTTGTGTGCCGGATAACATGATGTACACGCACGCACATTGTAATGGTATCATCCTACCCCCTTTTGCTGCACTAAACTCATCGCAACCCGTTTGCGTATAATATTATAAACGTCGGTGAGTACACACACACATAATATTATATTTATTATTATTAGTATTATATATGACAAATGTTATAACGGGACCGTTTGCATTAATCATTTTCCGTTGCGCATTCCTATATCGTCTTTTGTGCTCGCTCTACGCCGCCGCCGCCGATTCTCGTTTTATACTCGGTCAATATTATGATGACGATGACGATCGTGATGATGATAATAATATTAATAACAGTAGTAACATTATACTACGCTGTATTTGCCGTAAAATCGCATAATATAGGTAGGTGTACAATACCTACGCATATACAACCGCATACGAACATCTATTATATAATATGTATATAATAACATAATAAACACATTATGTTACATAAAATATATACATATTACATAGTACATATATAGATAGAGGTACTATTTATATGACTTAGTCATGTGTTAATTAGACTCGACGGTCGCGTCGTTTATTCGGCGGCGGTTACCTCTCTCATCTCTATTCAAACGTATATTGCGCACAAGCGACTTCCGGGACAATCGACGACGATCTTCGCCATCGCGAATCGAGAGGATTTCGGGAGACAAGCGGACGATGGTGGCTGTCTAGAGACACGACTATAATATTATAATATATTACAATATGATTTATTACATTAATAGCATTGTATCTCATAGTTGTACACGCCGCCGGAAATACGGTTGATAGCAACATTTTAACGGACGTTAAGCCGATTATTACGGTCGGCCCGATGCACACGCTTGTCAATATGTATGCGCAGAAATCGCGTTCGAGGCTTAACGTTTTAAACACACACACACACCGACACAGGGTGATTTTCGTATTTTTTGTTCCCGTCCTATTTGTATGCATCGCAACATTTGTTCAAACTCTGATTTTCACAATTTTTTGTTATACAAGCCATATACATTTGAACGACCGTATTGTCAAAAAAATAAAAGAATTTTGAACCCGTCATCTTTTCTCGTCGGAACATCGTGGAAATATAATTTTCATATCCAGACGTCTTATTATTATTGAATATTTCGTAAAAAAAACAAACCATCACCGCGATGTAAATTATTATTTCAATACTTCGAGGTTCAATGTGCGCATTTTTATTAAGCGTTGCACGAGAAATTGTGAAATATTTAAATTAACTATGTACGAGAAAAAGTGATAAAAACAAAATACTTCAAAAAGAGACGCATCGACAAATGGTGGTCTCAATATCGATCGAATAATAATACTGTGGATAGGTTTATTAAGTATTTAAATTCGGTACATAAACAAAAAATTATTTTGGAAATAAAATTCTTCCTGTTTTATTTATTTAATACAATATACATTTTAGTTCACGTGTAATGCTGTATTATGGTATCTGACAAATTGAAGCAGACAGTGTCCACCTGACCCAAGTATTATTCTTGTAAGCAACAATTGTCAAAAACGACACGGGATTAGGTACTCATTGTAGTCCTCCTTCAAAATGAAATTATACCGAGAAGAGCGTAATTTAATATCGTTGTATGCTGACCGCTCTCTCACGATTTATTCTGAACTATTATTGTTGTATACCTACAATATTTTTGGACAAACATAAATTCAAGTACGTAATTTCAGTGCTATTCATGATAGAATTACATTAATTTAACATAATATGAACGAAAAACTTTGAAACTAGATGAGAATATTATATTATTTAGATCACAATGGTGTTATTATTTGTAGTATTTCGGATTGTATAGAATTATGACATAAAAACAATTTTTGATTCATAACAATAAATTCAATTTGGCCAGCTACAAAATATATTTTCATTCAAATAAATTTTATTATTTTTACGATACCTACTGTTTTGAGGGTTGAGGTGGTCTGTAGACATAATATTATCGTATATTCGTATCTCATAGTATCAACTTGAAAAACAAATATACGATCGTATCTTAAGACGTTACTGACGCTGAGTTGAGTAATATTTAGCAGTTCCAATAGTACAGTTCGTGTAAAACTGTCAAAATAAATAAATGAAACTTTTCAAGCACTAACTTTACTAATGGCTTAAAAAGAGTTATCAGAGAAAAA